TTTGATTGGCTTCATTGGTTCCTGGTCTTTTTCATGTTTCTTTATGAATATCTTTTCTCTGGAAGTTAGTGCTGAGAACTACATAATTATTTGCTGTTGCAAATTGTGCAACCCTAAGTTTATTTAGGCCGTAGGAGTGCCAAAAAGCATCGTTCGTAACCAAAAAAGCCTGGATCTGAAGGCAATATAACTTTCAATGGAAAAATATACAAGGTCAAATAAATGGCAAAATATATACTGGACTTCTCTTCTTCTTATGGTGCCCTATCCAATTAGTGGATGTTGGCGACAATTCTGGAATACTCCTCTCGATCTTGTGTGGCTCTAAAAAGTGCATGGGCATCGAGAGTTGTCCAATCCCGTATGTTTTTAAGCCATGAGTATTTCTTTCTTCCGATGTCTCGTTTTCCTTCTATCTTCCCTTCCATAATAAGCTTTAAGAACTGGTACTTGGAATTTGGAAATGTATGACCCAGATAAGCAGTTTTTCTTCTTTTTATTATTGGCAGCAATTCTCGTTCTCTGCCCATTCGATTTAATACTTCGACATTTGTTGTGTGATCTGTCCAGGAAATTTTAAGTAGTCTTATATATTGGACGGAAATGTAATAATAGGGATGAAGTACTGCGGAAAACAAACTGGAATACGCTCAGAGCCATAACAGTCTTTCTTACTTGACATGCGCCAGTCAAAGGATACCTGTATATAATCTGACTGTTTTCTGGAGACTTAAGCTGCATATTGTCTAGCATAGAACCAGAAATAGCCAACCACATTCTGCACGACTGCGAGGCATTAGATCTCAGGCGACAAACATTTTTTTGGATACAACAAAGTGACTCCAAAATATAATTATGATACCCATCCACTAGACCTGTATAAGAATCCTGGAGTGGGTATGATGAAGGAATGGAAGATGTACAATAAACTTGCTAACTGTAGTATGGCCGGTTTTTAACAAACAATAACAGGCTTCCATAAAAAAAGAACACTAAGGTACATGTACCAAATAAGGCCCGGTTCCTAACAAGGCCCACCCTCATGTTTTTACATAAACAATTTGAAAAAGTACCAAATTCTCTTACAATCAATTAGGTACTGGCATCTAGTGGACGAGACAATAACTACTTCGGCAGCCATTGTTGTGTTAGGCTTTTTATGTTCATTTGTGTTGCCGCAACCAAGAAAGCAAAGCTGTGTTCTTATTTGCAAGGTATGTTATATCTGTTTACATCCATGTTGTTATAAATAATTTTGTACTGTAAATTTGTATTTATGAACAGGAAATTGTGTGTTTGAATATGGTAGTTTTATTTTTCTAAAACGGCGTATATTTACAGAGTTATTAACAGATCTCGAGTTTCAACTACTGTTAAGCCGGTGGCTCCTAATAAGGCCCACCCGTAGTGCTCCAAACAAGGCCCGGGTGGGCCTTATTCGGCATACTCCTGTTTTTCTGTATTATTGAATACATTTTGGAAAATGAATACAGTTTTCATGCCAAGTGTCATGGAAAAAATATTAATTATTGTGCTAAGGGATCACTTACAGTTTTAAATACAGAGAATAATAATTATGTAAGGAAATACATCCAATAATACAAGTAGACTAATAAAAAAAATTAAATTGACTAAGCAATATTAAAACACATTTTTTTAATCTATGATGGTAGTTATATTATTTTGTTCTGTTTATCTGGCATTGTACTTGTACGTCTAATTAATTTTTCAAAAACTATAAAAATAGTATACAATTCAGAAGTATGAGTGTATTTATTTATTGAATTTTTTTATTTTAAGATGGATTCAAAGACAAAACGTGCTACCTGGAGTGAGGATGATTTAAAAAAAGCGATGGAAGCTGTTAATGAAGGTATGGCAGTCAGAACTGCATGTAAAACTTATAGTATCCCCAGGCGTACGTTACGCAACCACGTAAATAGCGGTGTAGCAATTAAGAAGTTAGGACGGAAACCTTGCTTGGAGGAAACTCAAGAAAGAGAACTTACTCAAAGAATTTTTCGGCTTGCTGAAGTCGGGTATCCACTAACAGCTAAAGTTCTCCGACGCAGTGTTTTCGAGTTCTGCGAAAAAAATAATTTACAGAATCCTTTTAATGAAAAAAAAGGTTTGGCTGGGCGCAAATGGCTTAAGTTATTCCTACTGAGGAACCCAGAGGTTGCCAGGAGGAAGGCGCAGCATATGAATCCAGGAAGAGCTGCAAAATTGAATAAGTTTATTGTCAATGATCATTTAGAGAAATTAAAAAATATTATGACCAAACTAGAGGCATTTGACAAACCACAACTCATCTATAATATGGATGAAAAGGGTTGTCGTCTGTCTCTCTACAAGTCTCCTCAAGTTTTAGCAAAGAAAGGTGAGAAACGGCTACACTTTGTTGCTCCTGAACATGGAGAAAATGTATCCATTGTATCGTGTGGAAATGCAATTGGGCAGGTTATTCCTCCAATGATCATTTTTAAAGGAAAGCGACGCAAGCCAGAATGGGAAGATTATTTGCCACCTGGAACAACGGTAGAAATGACAGACAAGGGCTCAATGACTACATCAACCTTTATCAAGTGGCTGCATCATTTTGCTATGTACAAACCTGCAGGAGAAGTTCTGCTAATTTTTGATGGAGCATCGTCACATTTGGATCCAGATATTTGTGACGTAGCTGAAGGTCACAGTATTAGACTGTACTGCTTGCCTAGCAATACGACCCATGAACTTCAGCCTATGGACAAGTCAGTATTTAAACCATTTGAGTCTTATTGGGACGATGAAGTCCAATTACATTGGTCGACTAATAAAGGAGAAGAAAATAGAGCAATTAGTAGACGGGTATTTGGAAAAATCTTTAGCAAGGTATGGCCAAAAGCTGCGTCACCAGTTAATGTCATGTCTGGATTCCGAGCGACTGGGATTTATCCTTTTGATCCAGAATCTATTCCTGACTGTGCATTCACTCCTTCCCATCCTTCACAGCGTCCTGATCAAGAAAACATGCGAATGGGTTTCGAACCTGCTGAAATATCAAATATTCCAACAGTTTCCGAACAAAGGAGTTTCCGAAAAAGGAGACGCCAATCCAGCAGTTCTAGTTCTTCGGAAAGTGAGCTATTTTCTGTGAGGGATAGTTCATGTGATGTCAGTCTTAATGGCGATGATGACGATAGCGACAACCATGATGAACTCGACTGTTCCTTCCAAGACATTTTGAAAACTCCAGAGCTGAGAAAGAAACTCCAGACTCCTAGACGGAAGGCACTAAACTATCAGGCGCAAGTAGTAACTAAAGAACTATTTGCTGAAAGACAAAAGCAGCAAAGTGCCAAAGTAAATAATGCCTCTAACGAGTTTTCGGTTGGGAAAAGAAAGAAAATTCCGGTGAAACAAAAACATCTGGAGAAATTTAGTAATGAAAACGGCGGTTCTGCTCCAAGCTGCAGTGGAACATCAGAAGCTGTTAACTGGTTTTGTCATTTATGCTGTGAAGACAGAACAGCTGACATGAGACTTTGCAAAAAATGCAAAAAGTATGTACATGAAGAATGTGTAGGGTTGACATCCAAAGACAAAGTGCCGAATTTCGTATGTCCATGGTGTGAGAAGTGATAATATATCATTTGTTAATCATATTAATGTTTATTAAATATTTGGTGAATCTTATCATTGGTTTTATTGCCATTAACACGCTTCATAGATTAAAGTTTTGGGGTGGGCCATATTAGGGACCAGCTTTGGGCCTTATTTGGAAGATGGGTTCCTAATAAGGCCCTACTTCAAAAGTTAATAATTTATTTGATTATGATAATACTAATTACGAAATAATTTTTTTTGTATTTTCTTTTTATATCACTAGAACTAAAGCATGTTACACATTTTTACTGACCTCGTATCTCCTAAGTATAATAAATTAAAAGGTAATAATTGTTAGATGGGCCTTATTTGGTACACGTACCTTAATGCAAATTTATAATATAAATTGGGGTCTGAACTAATCAGCACATTCAGATCACTTAATTTTACCATACGAAATGGCTCGACAATACTATATAATTCTTTAGTGTATATACTGCATATGTCTGGAAATTTAATTTGTTTTGTAGTACCACAAGAAGATTCTATGGCACTACCCACCTCCACCTAATTTTGTCAAAAGATTGCAGCCGTTGAGAAGAGAATTCAGTATCTATTAGACATACTTTTTACTGCTCTAGTTAAATGTTGAGAGATTATCTCGTTCATTAAGTAGATTTATAGAAATCTATGGACTGTGAAATTTATGGACTGACTGAAAAACTAGCTAAATATAAGAGAATAGTCTTAACCAGGGAGGAGACCCAATGGCTTTATACTACATGCTTTCAGCTAAGACATCTAAGCAGAGCCTATTACCTGTATTATGGACATAATTTATCATTTTCAGATGTGACTTAATTAAACTAAAATAAGAAGCGGACATAATTATATTTAAAACTGCAATAGTCTATTTAGGAGGGAATTATGGATCTGTAAACTGCTAGCAATATATTCTTTTCAGCTTTCTAAAATAATAATATTCCGACAACAATTACCTTTCGTTTCTTGTATGTGTATACCAGATATGAGTCCCAAGACATTTTATTGATTAATGCTATCCAGTGATACCCCGTTATATGTCAAAGTTAAATTGAGCTTATGTAATCATCTCTAGTAAATTTCATAATTTTAATGTTTTAGTCAAAAAGCAAGACCCAATATTGTTCGACAATCGTTCTAGGTTATTAGTCACTGTTTGCATTAATCCAGGGGTTGTTTCGATATTCTTTCCATATTAAACAATTATAATGTTATAAAATGCGTATTTTTCAGAGAGAAATATTAGAGAGAATATGTTCCTCTGTATGTCCTCATCCGAGTGTCAAAGGCTCCATCCACATAAAAAGAAGGCTGCTAGAAAATTTATAATTCTGTCTAATTAGTTTCGTAATTGGTTTTTTATTTTTTAGATATATTCATAATGGAAAGATCCAAAAGATTTGCTGATAAAATGTCAACCGACGAGGAAGAAAACGCATCGGTTTCTTCCGTAGAAACTCTAGCCAATGATTTTGTTGAAGATATAAGACTAGAAAGAGATGACTCATCATCTTCTGGAGAAAACTATGTATTGTCACGAATGAAGAAAAAAGTTTTGTATCTTTCAGAGAACCAAGAAAATGAAAGTCCACGTAGGTCCATAAATAAAGCTCCAAGACACGCAACGTTAAGGCCATTTTATGATAATTCACATGACAAATATCCAGATGCTTCAAGATTATTACGGTCGAAAGTCAATGAAGATGATGATTCACACTACAGCTATAATCCTGATGATATAGAAACTCATCCTATTGTGAAAACCATCATGGTTGGTAGTGATTACCAAGCTCAAGTTCCGGAAGGTTTATGTAACTATGGCGATGCACTTCCATATGAGAACGATGACAAATTAATATGGGATCCTTACAATATAGCTAGTAATGATGTAGAAGACTATTTAAGAAAAGCTGCAAGTATACAAAACCCATCACTTCCAAATGGCAGTCATCTTAGGGACAACGAGCAGTATTTATTCTTATTACAACAATGCGGTCACAATGTTGAAGAAGCGTTGAGGAGATTAGGAATGAATACTGCAATATATAACGACAAAATGTCTCCTTGGTCTGAGGAAGAATGTAGGAATTTTGAAGCTGGAGTTCGAGCTTTTGGCAAAAATTTTTATTTGACGCAACAAAACAAAGTACGCACAAGATCTGTTGGAGAGTTGGTACAATTTTATTATTTATGGAAAAAGTCTGAAAGACACGACATATTTGCTAACAAGGTTTGTATATTTTAAGTAGTAATTGATATAATAATATGTAGTATTTATATTCATAATACGTTAAATATTTGTTATTTATTATACTTTACGTGATTGTATACTTCATCTTCAGATTCATAAGTCAGTCCTGATTTATTTATTGTTGAATCTCATCTCGATATTTCCTTCAATTTATGTTCTGCACCTCTACTATCTTATTAGTTGTAATTCTTTTGAGGTCGTCAGTTCATCGAGTTGGAGTTCTTTCTTGGCTTCTTTTATTTGCCCGTGGTCACCACTTATGCAATCTTTTTTCATTCTTACATGTTTTGCTTATCTCCATTTTTACCTTTTGATGCGTTCTTTTGGTCTATTTCTTAAGCTTATTCCTAGCATTGATCTATCTACTTGTTGTGTTTCTCTTTTTTGCTTTGCTTTTTAAATGGATTTCCTAATACACATACTTTTTCATAACTTTTATGGACGATTTCTCGATTAGCTATTTATGTAGACAACGATTGAGGTTTGACACAGGTATAATCTCATCAGACTGTCTAAAATCAACATTCGTAACATTACTAAAAAAATCCAATGCCTCACACTGTGATAACTATTGAATTTTAAGCATAATGTCTCATGTCTGTAAAACTTTTCTCAGAATCATTCATACACGAATTTAGAAAAAGTGTGAGTTTAAGATGAGTGACACTTAACACAAGAAGGTCTTTTTGCCTTAAATGTGTTAACACAACGATGCAGAGATATGAATGTAGATGTATATGCATGTTTTATTGGTTATTGAAAAGCATTTGACTGCGTTAGCCTTTAAAAATGATCGAAATCCTGAGAACAACTGGAATTAACGAACAAGTCTTGGAGGAGGAAAGCTGCCAGGAATCGACGGGGGTGGCGACTTTTTCAGACTAGGAGATTGTACACAATACTGTTCAGTTTTTATACAAATAGAGGTTTAGTTCGTTTTTAGTTGCATTTATAGATAGAGAATTTATAATTTCTGTTGAGAGACTGTACTAAAAATACGATTACGCAGAAAATGTTGGCGCCTTATCGATGGAAATGATTCTCTCTTCACTTTGAAACTGTGTCCACGTAGTCTGGTGTAATCATCTAAAATAAACAAATGTTTCAAATTTCCATATTCATACTTCAAAATTCAAAAAGTGATAATTAAGTCACCATTTTTGTGGTATATATTGTTATTATTTGTGATATATTCTTTTCTTTTGTCATATACGAGTATATTTTTCTTTAATATCTTACGTAATATGTTGTAAGTGGGTAGTAGTGCCTTTCTTATATGAATCTATTACATATATTGTTATTATTAGGGTAAGGTGCGGCACATTGAAACGAAAAATACTATTTTTAGACCAGAAACTTATGTATTACAATTTATAATATTTTTTTAGTAGAATTGTATATTTGCATGTATTGTACTGGTTTGAAATCTAAAAAAAAGTAAAAACCTGATTTTTGGTAATTATTTTTTTAAATCATGTATTTTGTTTCACTGTGTCCCATTCGAGGGGTAGTGTGAAACAAAGCAACGGGCACAGTGAAACATTAGGAATTTTCTAATAACAAAGTGAAATGAGTCTTAAAACTAAAAATCTTTAATATGAAATATGATTACAAATAAGGTACATAGGTATATCTACCTATATATTAACGTACATCTAAATTTGAATGAATTTGAATGTATGAAAGGTCTTCAACTTGGGGATAGGAAAAAGCTCTAGCCACTTTAGCACTTTTTCTTAAAAATGAAATTTCTACTGCGTTTTCGTCATTTTTTTCTTTAGTGACTTGGCCAATATAATAAAACTTTTTCTTATCTGTAAATTCAACCAATACAAATTCATTTACTTTTAGCAACTCTACTGGAGTAAAAGATAACTCTACAGTAATATCCTGTTCTACATCGTCAGGGCCAAATGATCCTCCACTTGATTAAGTATCAGACCATTCATTAAGTGGATCTTCTTTATCGCTACACTCTTGGACAAATAATTTTTTTGTTGCTTCTTTGTTTTTAGGAATGTTGATTTTAGAATTTTTGGCAGCATCTTTACGTGCCGCGTCCTCAATTAGATTTTTTTCAGGAGTATCCGTTGCGATCATGCTTCTTCCCGATTTCCTTTTTTTCCCAATTGCTTTTCTAGGGCCGGCTTTTGGATACCCTTTGAATTCCGCAGGACTTATAAAAGTTTTATTATCAATTATTTTCATTTCACTTGTATTTTTCAAAACATCTTGAGATTTATTTAGTGAAGGCTCTTCATTTGATTTTGATGATGGACCAGCGAGTGTTGGGGGATCGATTAGATTAAGTTCGTCTGAATGTTCACGATTTGGTCTGTCAGTTACAAAACTGGCCATATAGTCGGCTTCAGTGAATAAATCGCGGTTATAAGGAAAAATTCCAGTTTTTCTAAAGCCATTGATAATTGTTGCTGGAATCATGACTTTTTGATGTGCTTCATTGACACAACCAGTAAAGTTATATATTGAGAACACCTTTCATGGATTTTGTTTTTGCCAAGAATCTACGGCAGCAGCATAATATGTTTTAAATTGGGCATAACATAAAACATCAAGTGGTTGCAATTTTCCACTGCAATGGGGTGGAAGTGTGACTATTTTTATACCATTTTCTTTAGCTAGATTTATCACTTCAATGCATATATGGCTGTGATGGTTATCCATTATTAGCAACGTTGGGTTTTCCTTTGAAGACAATGTATATTTAGTAAAATGCTTAATGACCTGAGGGAAAATATCAGTATTCATCCACCGACTTTTAGTTGCCAATCCTAAAGATCTTGGTGGGCCGTTTATTAACATATGATCTTTAACTTTTACACGCGAAAAACGAGAGCCGGTGGTATTGTATTCCCAGATGCGCTTATATAACAACAGGTTGTCACCAATGTACCTTTTTCCCCAGCTGCTACAGTGGATACCCCTCTAGTTCCCTTTTCTGCAATTACTTTGACAGATTTATTTACTACTGTAGATGTGGCAGTTTCATCCAAATTCCATATTCTTGAACCATCTGCGAAATGAGTTGAACGTTGTAAGGCTACTTTAAGATTATCGTAGAAAGTATTAACGGTATGGCAATTAAATGATGTACAGCGAGAAATAGAACACTTTTCAGGTTGTCTCTTCGACAATGTTGGATTTCTTTTTAAAAAACCTCTCAGCCAGTCCAAACCAGCAGCTGATTTAGCATGCCAGCTTTGAGGTACATTTATATTATTTATCATGGCCATTTCGTATGCCAACTCACGTGTATCACGTGTTGATTTTCCATAGCACATTTTGGAACAGATCAATAAATACTCTGATAAAAGTTTTTCTTGTTCGGCAGTAAATATCAAACGCTAATTATACTTAGGAGTAAAACGAATTTTCACATTTGATCCTTCATCGTTAGCAGCTTTTTTCTTTTTAACATACCTGCATAAGAAAAACATATTTAAGGTAATTATATCTATTTATAATATAAATTATTACTCAGCTAAATAATGTAACAAAATTAACATTACATTCGTCTGCTGCTGTTCTTAAGCTGATTCCCTCTTCGAGAATAAGTTTAACAGCTATCTCCATTTGTTCCTCGGAGAACTGTCCAATATTGTTTTTTCGTACACGGTTTTTCATATTTTCTACAAAACAAAATAATTTGCTTTATATGAATGTTATTCGTGTTGCTATTAAATTATTTATGTATTTTTTAGTATCGAAAATTTTATTGGGGCACAGTGAAACATGTTTCAGTGTGCCCCATAAAATTTGTTTTACTCAGCCCCTAAACAAATCCAGTGTTAACGTGCATTTCCATTCGACAACCATCAGACTTAATAACAAGAATAATATGGCGATTTATTCCTTATACCTATTCCTTTTATATACCCAAGAAAGTAATTTGAGTTTTAAAAAACAATAAATTTGCAGAGAATAAATTATTCGTTCAAATATTTACTTTACTCACCCAGAATCCAACATCATCCACTGTAAATCACTAAATAACTGAACTAAACGAATTTCTTACATCAGCTGACATTATACACAGGTCAGTGTTGCCACACTAAGATGTTTACAATTTCAATGATTAAATTACGCGAAATTTGAAACGTTTCACTGTGCCCCTTGTTTCACTGTACCCCACCTTACCCTATAGTTTTTTTTTTGTTCAATGTACAAATATATCTGAATCTTCAAAATACAAAAGAAGTAAAAAAAAGTGTACTGAGCTAAAAAATATTAAGAATGAAATAGGTATCTAACAAAAAAACCGTAACAGCAACAATAATTTCCTTTTCCAGGAAAATGACACAAAGAAATTAAAATATAAAAAAATATCTAGGAAACATAAATAAAGTAGTACATTAAGTATCTATGAAAAGTTAAATGTTGTTATATTTTAGGTGAGGCTGGAAAAAAAGAAATATGCTCTGCATCCTGGTGTTACCGATTTCATGGATAGATTCCTCGATGATCAAGATACCAGGGATAGCAGTTCTCCCCCCACTGCGCAAGTCGTGGAAGATAAGAAAAATCAAGATAATCAAAATATCAGTTCAAACTGAAATATAACCCTTTATAAATGTACAGAAATATTTTTATCGTATCAAAATATCTAAATCACTGGATGTTTGTGATTAAAAAATATAAAAAATTTCATATTTTTATTTGAGGATGCTAATAACTGGCGCTAAATTTTGAAGAGTTTAGATGAGAGAAATAGCAATACTCATTCCTTTTTTTCTTCTTCGGGAAGAAGGGTCCCTTTTATTTAAAGTAGCAATTTACAAAACCTATAGTACAAAATATCGAGTAACTTGAGTCAAAAGACTGTAAGGGGTAAGAGCCGCAGATGCTTTCTGGAAGACACAGCGAGTATATTAGTTCTCCATGCCTCCATTAGTCACCATCTTGAGCAATCTTCATCCAATTCTCCACGCATGTTGCTTATGGTCTCCTGCTATATTATCTCTCCATCGAAGTCGAAATCGTCCACGAGATCTTCTTCCAATTTGAACTTCTGTCCATACCAGCCTTACTATTCTTTCGTCAGAATGTTTTCTGAGATGTCCTCCTACTGCAGTCTCTGGACTTTATTTCTTTTACTATGTTAACATATAGTTCGTCGATTCATTTGTTGGTTCTTGTTCTATATTGTCCTGCAGTTCCATCAAGCACAGTCAAAAATATCTTTTTTAGAATTTTTCTTTCCCAAACACGTAGTAGCTCTTAGTTTACTTTTGTTGTTGTCCACGTTTTGCTACCATACATCCTTACAGGTCTTATGACTGTTTCATATAGTTGTATGTTTGTATATGTTGTTCTTTGTTTCGATTTTATAACGTTTTAAAGCGCATACATCTATTGTTTATCTCTTGTGATCCGTTAGTGTCTTCAGTTATTATTGTTCCAAGATTCTTAAATTCTTGGTCGCGCTTAAAGTTGAATCATCTCTATATCGGGTATTGAGATTCATATGCATATATTTAGTTAATTGATTAGGTGTCAAATCTTTTCTGCTTGCTTATCGAACTTGACAAAAGTCTCCTTCTTCCTTAATCTGGTGTTTTATATTAGACCGATATCGTCTACAAATCCCAACAGTAAGTTTGGTCCTTCTCGACGGAATACTTTAGTCGGTTTTTCGATTTTTACAATTCTGATTATGTGTTCCAGAGTTAAGTTGAAGAGTTGTGAATTTGCATTCACCATTAGTTTTAGTACACTTTTTATTTCAAATGCGTCCAAGTATAGTTTTCAAACTCTCACCTTACATCGTAACTCTTTCATACATATTTATTGTGTATATTTCGATTTCTTTCGTGTTTTTTCGATTTCTTCTGTGTATGTTTGGGTTGTTTCTAGCAAGATGTTTACAAGGACTTTGTAGGTGGTATTTAGGAGCGTTGTTCCCTGGTAACTAATACAATGCTTTTTGTTTCTTTTTATGTAGATTGATACAATAATTACTTCTTTCCATTCATCTGGCATTGTTTTTTTTTGCAAAATGCTTTGAATTAGCTTAAATATTGGTCTGTACAATGCTTTTCCTTCGTATATTAAGCATTCTGCGGATATACTATCGCTGCCTGTCGTTTTATTAGGTTTTAAGTTTTTTAATTGCCTTGGTTACTTCGTATGTCGAGTTTTAGTCTTCTATTTCAGCTGTATACACTTCTATGTATGATGTATTTCTGTTAGATTGGTCAATAAACAGTTCATATAATTATTCCTTTAAGATTTTAAGGATGTGCTTGTCATCAGTAATACACTGCCAGCTGTGTTGTGCTGCGAATAGTGTTGTGCTCGACTTGCTTCATTCAGTTTGCGAATATCTCCCCATACCTTTTGATTAGAACGCGAGAAATCAATGTGTTGGACGATAGACTTCTACTCATTAAGTCAAGTTGACTTAAGTAAAGTATCTCCAATTCCAGGATTCTCTGATTTTAAAAATGGGTCATGTAGTCTCTTTCCTTCGTCAAGCTTGGGATGTACTTTTTTCGAAAACCTCAGGGGATATATTTTTCCCTTGGGGTTATTGAAGTCCAGCTCTTTGGTATATTCGAATCAGTTTGCTTTGTTAAAATTTGGCTTTGTTAAAGTTTGACGAAGTCTTGGCGTTAATTCAACAAGAGGAACTTGTATGCCTATTTCGATTATGATAGGTCGAACTTTTTCTTAAAACTATACATCGCAGAATACACAAGCTATGTGAAGAGAGAATACAAGACACACAGTTTGGATTCATGAAAGACGTAGCTACGAGAGGTGCACTATTTAGTTTCCAAGTATTATTCCAAATATGAAGAGATATGACTTGCGATATCTACACTTGCATTGTGGACTACAAAAAAGCATTTGACACAGTTTATCACCGAAAAATGGTGTTCTAACAAAAGCCCGAATAGATGATAAAAACCGGCGTATAATACAAAATTTATACTGGAACCAATCAGCCACAATAAGGACAAATCTTGGAGATGAACCGACGAAAGTAATCTAGATTCTGCGAGACGTTAGACAGGGCTATATACTTTCACCTATATTATTTAACCTATATTCAGAGAAAATATGTAGTGAAGTCTTGGAAAATTGCGAACATGAAATCCTTTTAAATTGAGAATGCCTTAACAACATCCGCTATGCAAATGACACCATTATTTTGTAAACAGTTTAAACAGTTTACATCAACTAATAAACAAAGTAAATGAAGTAAGTGAAAGATTTTGACTACAAGTAAATATATCAAGAACTAAATTTATGGTAATCAGCAAAAATAAAGTTAGAGACGTTCAACTGCTTATCAAGAATACACCAGTGGACCGAGTAAAACAGTTTACCTATCTTGGAATAAAAGTAAACGAACAATGTGATCACTCACAAGAAGTAAAATGTACAATAGAGAAAGCTATGAGTGCATTTAACAACATGGTCAAACTCTTTAAAAGCCACAACCGTAATCTGGAGATAAGACTCCTACGATGTTATATCTTCTTGATATTATACTACAGAGTTGAATCCTGGACACTCACTAAAGCGATGGAGAAAAAAACTTGAAGCCTTCAAGATGTGGCTATACAGAAGAATCCTAAGGATATCATGGACGGACGAGATAACCAACAATACTGTACTACGAAGAATGGGGAGTAGTGTATACCAGTACAAAGCGGAGTCAGACAGGGTGACTCGAGTCCACTTCTCTTTAATATAATAATGGACGAAATAATGCAAGCAGTACGTAAAGGTCATGGCTATACAATGGGGAACAAAGAAATCTAAATATTATGTTATGCAGACGACACCGCATTAATCGCCGAGGCAGAAGACGAGCTCCACAGATTAACGCATATCTTCAGTACAACAGCGAAGAAATACAATATGATAATATCAGCAGACAAAATCAACTGTATGACAACATCTAAATACCGACTACGGTGTAAAATCGAAATTGATGGGAAAATAATAAACAGCAAGCAAGGTTTAGATATCTGGGAATAGTAGTTACGGAGATGTTGAAGAAAAAGTACGACAACAAAGCTTAATATCAAGTAAAGCGGCGGGTTCTCTTAATGACAGAATCTGGAAGAACAAACACCTACGACAAGACACAAAAACAAGAATCTATAAAGCAGCAAATAGACCCATATTAACATACACGGCGGAGACAAGACCTGACACATCGAAAACGAGACGACTGCTAGAAACAACAGAGATGAAAATACTCCAACGAGTATCAGGGAGAAGTCTATTGGATAGTGAGAGAAGCAAAAAAATATTAAGAGCATGCGATTTAGAAGACATAAATGGATGGGTGACAAAACGAAAACAGGAGTGGAACGAACATATCAGTAGAATGGCAGAGGATAGAATAGTACGAATAGCACGAGAAAAGTCACCAAATGGACGAAGAAGTATTGGCAGACCAAGAAAAAGATGATGCGACAGTTTAGGAGGCTAATATTGAAGAAGAAACGGGCTTTAAAGCCTACATACTAGAAGGAAGAAGAAGAAGAACTGATGTATACGATTATACATGGAAAGCTAGAATATCTCAGACACGTAATGAGAAACAGCACTACATACAGATTCTTCTTCTTAGAGTTCCTGTTCGTTCTGAACGTTGGCGATCAATCTGGCTATGGTGACTGTTGGTTGCTATACGAAATAGCTGTGTTGAGGTCTTTCTATACCATACTCTCAGGTTAGCAAGCCAGGATATTCTTTTTCGTCCTGGAGCCCTTTTTCCTTTAATTTTACCTTGTAAAATGCATTGAAGTAGCTCGTATCTGCCTTGATTTCTCATTATATGGCCCAAGTACTGCAGCTTACGGCCCTTCACGATGTTGACCAAATTCGAAGTTGTATTTATCATCGACAGTACTTCTTTATTTTGGTGACTTTGTCTGTGGTATCTTCAAGATTCGTCTGTATGACCATAGCTCAAAAGCCTAAAGTTTTGATAGAGTTTCCGCCTTCAATGTCCACGTTTGTACTCCGTACAGAAGCACTGAGTACATCTAACATCTAAGGAGCCTTATTTTTGTTACTAGGGTGAGGTCATGGCTCTTGAACACATAACTCATAGTCAAGAATGTACTCTTTACCTTTCCGATGCGACATTTAATCTCTTAGGTATTGACCAACGACTCATTGATTATAGTTCCCAAGTAGTTGTATTGTGAGACTCGTTAAATTCTCATTTGGTTTACATACAGATTTGCTGTAGTTATGTTTTCCTTGCTGATGATCATTAGCGTGGTTTTGCTGGTGTTTATATACAGTCCATATTTTCTACTTGTTTCCCGTTATTTTGTTCATTACATACAGATTACTGAAAATAATTCTTCAAGGTAAAGTATTCGAAAAGCAAGGAATTTGAAGAAGAAGAATATCATGGTTAAAAAACACGAGGAAATGGTTCTCCACAACAACAACTAATTTTTAAAGCATCAATTACTAAAATCATTATAGCCAGAATGATCGCCAATATTCGAAACGAATAGGCATCAAAACAAGAAGATCTTAACTGTAAGTAAAACTAAATAGTGCAGTTCAGGAGCTTGGAAGTAGTTGCATCTGTGAGTTCCTCGAAACCCATCAAAAATTG